ATCTACAATGAGATCTGGTGCCCTCTTCTGGTGTGTAGACCTACATGCAGGCACAGTAGTGTATAAATAATAAATAAATAAATCTTTAAAAACAAAAACAAGTACTTGGCTTTCCTTAGTTTAAAACAGTATTGTTTAGGATATATATTTTTAAGCACTTCATGTTTTATCCCTGTCTTGTCAGTGATTAAATGTTCCACCTACAAAAATAAGGAATGCCCAGGTCTCTGGTTCCTGAAAATAACATCTGGTATGTGCACAGAACACAACTGAGAGACTGGCCCAGTTTTCATTTAAACTTTTGTAATTTAAAACCGGAATTCTCTTAGCCGCAATTAGGCAGAAATCTGCTTTTACCTTATTAGGAGATTGCTATTTTCAACATTTACCTTCAACCACTACATGGATTTCTCTTCTAACCAGTGAGCTTCCTGACTCTTCAACTAAATTAGACTGACTTCTTTGAGAGCAAGCAACCACTAGACCCCATGATCTGTTTCTCAGCTAATGTATTTCAAACTCAAACTCTTTACAAATGCATACCTGTCACCAGCTTCATGAATTTGTCTAATTTTGTAATGCAAGTTTGATAAGAACAGGTGTCCCTAACGTATTACCTATGAGATCTCATAACAGGATTTTGAACCTTAAGACTTCAGGGGTACCCTTTCAGTAGATCCAGAAGGTCAAAGGTATTTTCATAGATGACATTTAGAAAGAAAGAAAAGATATTACTATATTACTTTGTTTTGGGTGGGTTTTTTTGTTTTGGTTTGTTTGTGTTTCAAGACAGGGTTTCACTATGTGTAGCCCTGGCTGTCCTGGAACTTGCTCTGTGGACCAGGCTGGCCTCCAACTCACAGAAATCTGCCTGCCTCTGCCACCTGAGTGCTGGAATTAAAGGCGTGTGCCATCACCGCCAGCTCTATTATATTACTTTGAATGTTTCCTTTCAATCACTCAAGAGCACAAAGTGGAGTTTTCTAGATAATATGTGAAGTATGATATCTCAAGATACTGCATGCAGAAGCAGATGTGAGAACCCAGCTGTCTTCCAGGAAAATAAAGTTACAAAAACAGGGGGGGTGGTGGCAGAGGCAAGCCGATCTCAGTGAGTTCAAGGCCAGCCTGATCTACACAGTGAATTCCAGGACAGCCAAGGCTACACTGCCTTGAAAAACAAAAACAAAAAAAGTTACAAAAACATATAAACTTAAACTATTCTTCCCATTAAAATTTTGTTCTGAAAATGTTTTGCATAAACTGACATTTCTGTTAACAAGGATTAGATTATTGTTATTTGTATTTAAGTCAGTAAATATTTAGTTTTAATTTTAATTTCTAGTATGATATTAATAGGTATAAGCTACACAAATGTCTAGGGTTTTGAAAAATACTGAGACTATAAAGAGGTCTTACAAACAGAAAGTTGTATAAAGTACTGTAGCACACAATTACATAACCTAACACAGTGCTCTCTGCGGCTAAACAGCTCTAGTTAGTTCTGAAGTATCATGACTCCTTACCCCCAATCTTGATGAGTTCTATATCTCCTTGTAAAACAATTCCTCATACAGCCAATGTGTTTGGGCTCCTTTTAATGGGCTTTAGACATTTAATTTTCAGAGTCCTCGTTATAAAAATGTTCTAGTCAATGATAACATGAATTACTTAGACACCAGAAAGCAGCAGTTTCTCTCTCTCTCTCTCTCTCTCTCTCTCACACACACACACACACACACACACACAATCTTGTTCATCCTAACAGAGACTTGTGAAGTACTGCTCTTTTTCCAGATGACATAATGAAACTCACACTCAAGAAAACAGAAGTGCTGGTCCAAGGAGGTACTGCCTGCTAGAGTCTGGGCTTTGGTCTTTTGCAATTTGCTTGGCTATTTCACTGGGGTATAATTTTGAGCTCCCAAAGAAAATAAGGTAGGGGCATTACTTTTATTGTCCAGGTGCCAAAATGGGCATTTTCTTCCTCCTCAGTGAGAGTAAAATTCAATACCAGTCAGGAGCATTATATCAATATACTGGCTACCCTTTTACTCTCCTACCAAAAATAATAATAAATAAATATGTACATTCTAATGTGTTGAAGTTAAAAAAAAAAAAAAAAAAAAAAAGCCCGAGTACATAACACTCCAAAATGATGAGTTAGTTAGTTAAGGGATCACAGATTTACCAATCATTTAATTACTCAAACTACAGGCAGGCAAAAACATGATTAAGCTTAATACAATAACATTTGATTGTACCAAGGAAGGGATGTGAACAGGTTTAAAATAGGAGGCCCGAATGAAATGAGCTTGAGACAGAAGAAAGAAAACACCCACAGAGATGTAAAACAACCTTTACTGGCCCTACTAATGCAAGTGATTCGACCCACCCTTCCAAAGTGGGGTCAGAGACTGCCATTTGCTGCATGTTGTAAAGATGCCACCCTGCCCCAACAGAAATTACCCTTCCATTACTAATTTGTGGTGGTTTTCAGCACGTCTCCCAGTTATGCTCCATTTTAATGTGCTGAATTCCTCGAGAGGCTTCATTTGCTACATCTCTTTTCCCCAGTCAAAGTGGACTCCCTGACTGATGGAGGCAAGACTGACTCACAACAGGATATCTGCCACTTGCATAATTCTTGTCTTTTTTTAGATGTATGTGCACAATGAAGCCATTTCTAAGTTTAATGTGATTTTACATAGAAAAAAAAAAATCAGGCTTGTGCTCACGCACCCACCTCTGAATCCCTGGAGTTGACTACAGATGAACAAGAGGAAGTTCCCCATTCCTTGTGAGGTGTATGTGTTTCCTAGTGGTCTTGTGTGTGTGAGAGAGAGAGAGAAAGAGAGAGAGAACTCTGGAAAAACTTCAACTGTGGCCTCAGAGCTACAGCTAATTAGCTAACAGGGCAGACCACCAGTCCATGTGTGATACACCTTTTTGTTGTTGTTATTTTTCAAGTTCAAGGCTCACTGTTGAAAATGTATGTACAGGTAAGGACCCACTCACACAAGTTCTTGCATTCCCACAAAGAACTTCAATGCTGGCTCTGCATGGCAGCACATGCCTATAATCCCAGCACTCCAAGGGCTGAGGCAGGAAAATGACGAATTCTAGGTCACCGTGGACTATAGTAGAGACCCAATCTCTAAAACCAAAGGAACCGCAATAGTGCCCTGTGAAACCTATTAACTGGTTAATTTTTAAAGGCTTCAAGCAGAAAAGGACACCTGACTTTACAAAGGTAAGCAGGACACCAAGTCTTGGAGCTCCGGAAGACTGCAGTCACTTCTAGTCCTTATCCTGAAGGACAGTTTTCTTCGTGTCACCCCGTTTGTTTTGCTTCAAGAACATAATCACCTTTGAAGAAGTAACCTGTTAAAAGTATTCTAAAGCAGTCTCTAAACTACCTTCCTAGCTCCAATCCAAACCAGGATGAGAAACCTCCCCTCAATCATACCACTGTCTCCCAGCTTTGCAAACGAACTTCCTTTCCGATGCACACGATTCCTATTTTACACTACAGCCCAAGCTGCCAGTGATAATCTTAAAGCTCATAAACAAAGACCTGCGTCGGCACCAGGGCGCTACCAGGAAGTAATCAAAGCCGGGTGGCCGGTCCGACCTTAAGTCCGGGCAGACAATGAGAGGGCACCGGGGCTTCCAGAGGGGCAGAAGGAGTTAACGCTTAAGCAACTCAAAAGCATAACATAAACCCAAGAAGCGTCTCACACGCACAAGGGAATTCCCAATGCAACCCCGGGCAACTCGAAAGACGGTCTCGGGACAATCGTCGAAGGCATAAAACTCGAGCCGCCCTCCAGAGCAGCTGTTCGCTGCGTCCTCCCGAGCTTTCGGAGCCCGCAGCCTGTTTTCAAACTTCACCCTCCCAGGCTGATCCGCCCCCAGCGCAGCCGGCTCGGGGGCTGCGACGGACCGGAGCCTGTGGGAGCCGGGAGAAACGCCACCGAAGGGGCCCGCGCGCCCGGCAGCCCAGACAAAGCTGCGCCCGCACCGCGGCGCCTTCCCGGCCCGGCCCGCGGGGCACCG